AGATTCTAGAATCGCAGACATAGCACTGGGAAACACCTGCATACTGACAATTCTGTCCAACAGCCTTTTTATAAAAACGTGGAAGGATGAATCTGACGAAAGATGACTGGCGCTTCTTTTTAGTAGCGTCTGTGCCTGGTTGTACAAATCAGCACTCGCTACCAGGCATCGTAAAATTGGCGACATAATCCCGGTTTTTGTTGAGTTAAATTCTGAGACGCTGCGAGTGGTTGTAAAGAAGCAAACGGGCTAAATTGCGCAATTTTCACGAATTGCCATAATGAAGTGCACCACGCTAGAAAGAAGTGTATAAATAAAATATAACGTGATATCTCTTACATATTTATTAGAGCTAAAGAATAACATGCAAATGCGATGAGACGCCTGCAGAATGCCAAACGTGCAGCGAAAATCCCAAGACGACATTGGTCGGCATGGGTGGAGCCACCGATGTATCCACGGAAAGAAAGGCGTGGGATAAAAAACCGAAAATAGGTGGAGCAGCGGGAGAAGACCGGACATTGGTCACTCGTCGAACAACATCAATCCGGGAATTGACGTCACAGATGCTGATCTGTCACAACTACTTGAGTTATGGCTGGATCACTGTTTAGACTAGATGTTTTGGTGTGTGGTCATTAGATCGAACTATATGAAATTGATATGATATGGTTTTCTCTTCTATATATGGTGTGGAGAAATCGGAGTCAGAATAGGTAGCTGACAAATCACTTTCTATTTTGAAACATGTCAAAAGAACCAGTAAATCGATGTTCCAAGGGACAGAAGACGAAATCTAGAAAAATATTATTTATGAGTCTTTGCACACACAACTTCACGGAAATGTTGGATGCAGAATGAGCAATTCTTCTATTCTGCACGTTCTTTTATAGATACAGGGCGTTTCGGAGGTGGACACTTTGAAGATTTGTTTATTTATTTATTTATTTATCTATTTATTTATTTATTCTACTGCACTTCAGCGCGTCATTAGCAAATTACAAGAAAAAGCATAGAAGCATTGTGGGGTAACTACTAAGTATATATCGAAACTAGCGCCTACAGCAGCACCGCTGAAAAGCTCGTATTGAACATATGTTGCTAATGGAAGGCATAGAAAATGGTGCAATACAAGTTTTGAA